AAAGACCCAAAGGCTAAAATCCCCTGTTTATTCACACACCAGACACAAAGGATGCACTGGGAATATAACTCTCCTTTTGGCACAGAATATAAGACACACTGATACATACGACTCAGTTCTTGCTCCCTCAGTTGGAGCTTCTAATATGCCAGTTTTGACTCTGTGGTTTGTTTTCACTGCAGTGAGAGCTGCCGCTCACGCTACTGTTAACACAGCTCTGACCAGTTCTACTCCAAGTCCTTGCTTGATAATTGCCCACAGCTTTCAAACTGTAACTCTCTGGTCTGGTTTAAGAATGTCATTTTTTTGCTGTTTTATTTCATAAGCCAATGAGAGTTGAGAATATAAACATCTGTTTAAAAAGTTTTTTTTTTTTTTTAAAAACATTAATGCTGACCAGACACATGGAGATGAAAAGTTGAAGTCTGGCAAGAACATACTACCAAACAAAAACCAACTTAACGACCTCGAGCTTTCAAAAATTATACTCCATGCAGGAGAACAAATTAAATAAAGGGAGTCAAGAAGTTCATGTGTGTATTGCTGCCTTCACTGAAGGACCTATAAAAGTACTTGATTCTAAACCTACATAAATCAACACCTGAGCACATACTCACGCCTGAGTAAGATAACAGACAGTTCGTGACAGTAGTAGGCTTCTGGCCATAGAAGGGAGAACAAGATTTTTCCGCACGTTTTTGCGAGTATAGCCTATAAAACACTGTATAGGCCAGATGACAGGAAAGTGCATCAGAAGCAGCGGGAGGGCACATCAGAGGGCACATCAGAGCGCTCTTCAGTCACTCTGACCCTCTTAGGACATGGGGAAACCGGTGCAAGCCCAACCACGTGGTCCACTCTTTCCTTGTGCCAAACCAAATGCACATGGAAACGAGAGCCTGTTGCAGTATCCCTCATAAATAAGCACAACGGAAACGGATAATGGTACTACTCACAATTTTTGTTATCTTCTTAGAGTATAGTTTTATACTCCTCCTTTAAAAACTGAAAAAAAACTGAACCACAGAATTGGTTGAAATCTCTGCAATACCAACATATTCACGGGCTGAAGCAGTGTCCTGCACAGCATGCTGAGAAGCTTCACAGTTCCCCGGTGCAACACTCAGTTTTACAGCAATAACACTTTGGGGGAGGAGGGAGGAAGTTACTTTCTGCAAGAATACTTGCAGAAAGTATACTCGCAAGTGAAATTTTCATGTTACTGCATTATTGTCTGACATGAAATTCAGATTTTTAAGGTTTTAAGTAGCCTCGATTAGTGTGTTGGAGATCAGCACAGAACATCTCCTTCTCCTGGCAGTAACTAAACTAATGAGCAACCATATTCCTTCTCCAAGAAACTTGAAGAAAGCATTACAACATCACGCAGAACAGCTGTACTCGCCTCCTGATCTCCAAGTTTTTAAAACTATATAAGCTTTGAGAGAACAATGACTCCAATCTTGAGAAAAAACCAAGTCCAGTATTGCTTTGTTTCAGCATTTGTTAGGCCTCTAGCATAAGGGCCTGAGTTTAAGGTACAAGTTACCTTTTTAATTTAGGTGTTCACTTTCTTTGGAGACTTTCTAGAAAGCCGCATGATTCTGCGGAGCTCAGCCAGCTTCCCAGGAGCTCCCGTTTAAAGGATGCGGTAGAGCAGGGCCCCGCTAATCATCTGACCTACTTCCCATCCGCAGAACTCAGATTTTAAACTGTGTCACATAGTTACGCAAGTGAAAGAGCATAGATTTGGCATAATGTTCACGACCGGCACAAACAAGTCATGCTCAACCATCTTCAACAGGGCTTCACATCAGCAGAGGATCAACACCAGTGGAAGATACCACCAGATAAGATATGTTTGTTTTTAAAACAGGTTCTTCCATAAAATAGTCGAGAAAAACCAATTAATCAAACTGGAACAAAAAATATTGATTACATCTCCTCTTGCTATAAACGTTCCCAAGATATTACGTTACTGCTTCCGTCCACAACAACCATATTACACCACCACAAATGGAGGTGTAAGATTGGGAAACTCGAGAACAGTTAATGTTTCTAACAGCAATAGGAATCAAAACAACAGAAGCCTAAGGGCTAGTCATGATCTAACAGGCTGTCAGACGCAAGAATCACCATGCTCTCCTTTATCTCCTTATCTGACACAGGCTAAAAGCACATCATGTCTTAGGGAAGAGCAACATACAATACTCAGCTCTAAGACGTGTTTTCCACAAGTTAGGTTACGTGCGTGCCACCAAAAGCCACATGGAGTCACAGCTGCGCTTCCTGAAAGAGGCTACAGCACCACACCACCATTTCCTATCCCCACCCCACTAACCAGCAACGTCTTTAATAAGACCAGCATAAAATATTTTACTGTTTACAAAGCTACCACCAAGCACTACCTGTGTAATACTGTCAGCATAACGATGAGCAATTTACAGCAGTGAAATCTTCTTGTAACGCAGCGTATCAGTGTTGAAGAGATGACACACCACTCTTCCCTACAAGTCTGTAAGCTGTGGTTATCTTCACTACTCAGAACTGATTAAAAAAAAAAACCCACAGGTTTCAAAATGCATCCCCCTTTCAAGGCAACCATTTTCCACAGGCACAGGAAAACATAGTCATACTACCTGTCAAACCACAGAGGTATTAAACACATGACACTGTTAGAGAGAAGCCTGTTAAGTGACGTTTTCTTTAACTAAGATGGCATTGACCTTGCATTGAACTAGGTCAGAGG